AATTCTCTGCAGTTGTTATCAGGTAAACTTCTTTGTTCATGCACCCTGCCACCCTACATCAGATCCGACAAAGTAACCAGAGTGATTTTTAAAATGTAAGTCAGACCTGGCATTACTCTGCTCAAAAATCAGTCATTGTTTTACGGTGGCCTTCAAGGTTTTGGCCTTCCTCTAGCTCTCTGACATCCTCTCCCACGGTCCCCTCATATCAGCCTTCCTGCAATTCCTTTGGACACGCTTCTGTCTCAGGGCCCTTAACTTGCCGTTCTCTCTCTCTGCTATATAGGATTGTTGTGCACATTAAAGAAGCTACTACATGTCCTTGGGAAAACACCAGGCACATAGGATTTAAGAAGCGGCTTTTAAAATCTGGTGATTGACATTTCAGATTTTAACATATGCTCTGATTTTTATACTAAAAATATGCATAATTTTTAAAATATGTTTAAAATTAGGAATTCGATGAATCTTCACCCAAACAACCTACAAATCCTTATGCATCATCTAAAGCAGCTGCTGAATGTTTTGTACAGTCTTACTGGGAACGATATAAGGTAAGACCTGATTGCAGAAACTCTTGAAACATTTTCCTTTGGACCTAAGTGTTAAGACTCCAAGTGGGCTTTTTTTTTTTTTTCCCTAAAGATTTTTAAGTTTTCTATTTATTCTTCGGAGACAGTCTCGATCTGACACTCAGGCTGGTCTCAAACTCCTGACCTCAAGTGATCCACCCACCTCGGCCTCCCAGAGTGCTAGGATTACAGGCGTGAGCCACGCCCAGCCCAAGTCAGCTTTTAGCAGCATGCTTAGAGTACAAGGCATAGATTGAGAAAATTTACATATTACGGAATTTTAAAAACTAATTTCCTCTATTGTGTGGACAAAATAGGACCTACCTCTTCTTATTCAGTTCATCATTAAAGGAATAACTTGAATATACATTGTTTTTCTATTTCGGTAATAGGTAGAGTGTTACAGCTAGAGTCAGAATGAGGTTGGAGTCCTATGAGTGGAGGAAGACAGAGGGAGGACAGATCCCCTTTCTGCCGTGTGCTTCTCTCTGCATGATTTGGCTTTTGTGGCTCCTCATGAATGGGAAGTAGACTTGCCCCTGGTGGCTCTGACAGTGTCGGTATGGGAGCCTTACCCCATATGAATCCTCACCTTGAATCTCCTACATTTGGCTTCCCACTGCTCTTGGTGAGTTTTTAGGGTGTGGGTCAGAGAGGCAAGCCTTGGAATTCCTAAAGATTCTCTCACCATTTGGGTTCTGGTGGCATCGGTCCTTTTCACTTTCATCGTAGCTCTTTTTATTTGTAGGGATTGGTACAATGAAGAGAGCCAATTTAGAGTCCTTGAGGTGGTCTTTAAAATAATCAGCTGGAAAGTTCTTCAGTGTTTTGCTATCAATCAGACTTATAAACCTGTGCCATCTGTGTTCGTCTTCTTGTACTAATAAAAGAATGTTCCTCTTCTTTTTTTTTGGAACCTCTGCCTTTATCTGAATCCTGTTCTCTCCTTTCTAGAAACCTTACGTTAGAAAAAAATCTCTTCCCTTTGACCTTAAGGTGTGTAGAATTATTTAGGCAACAGTGCCCATATTTTGAAATTCTGCTCATCTTTAAAATAATCATCATTATTAGACCTTTTCAAAAGCCTTAATGTTGAATATTCTTTTAAGTTTCCAGTTGTTATCACAAGAAGCAGTAATGTTTATGGACCACATCAATATCCAGAAAAGGTAAACTTTACTTCTTAATTCATGGTGTTTTTCAGTGATTGTAACTTCTCATTATTTGAAATAACCCCTTTTCAGTTATTTGTCAAAATAATATGTTGTAAATTTTACATAATTTTATATGCTGTATAACACCTCTTGCAGATTCCTTCAGACTTAGAGATTGAAGATGAGTTTTAAGTCTCAAGCTGGCTGACACTCACCAGCTGGCTTCACCACTTGGCAGAGATTTTGAAGGATCCAATGAGAATGATATGTGTGAAAATACCTTGTACTTTTAAAGACTTTAAAGCATTGTAGTATACTTCTACCACTACTGACATGCTGTAGTTGACTCCTTGTTTGCAGTCAGACCAGTATGTCAGGGTATACAGAAAGTCAAAAGCTAGCTAGCTAGTGATGCAAGAAGCTTGTATACATTAACTGTCTTAGTGTCAGCTGGCTAACTGTGCCTCAACTTATCTTTATGGTGTAGGCATGAATATCTTCCAGAAAGTACTACAAGTAATGGATAAAAAAATTTAGTTTAGAGGCTGAAAATGCCTGTGCGGTTGGTTCTGTATCATCAAGTCTGATTTTACATAACTTTGGCCACTCGTCCTAAATTTGGAGACTGGGTTTTTCTTTTTTCTTTTCTTTTTGTTTCTTTTTTTTTTTTTTTTTTTTTTTGAGAGGGAGTCTCGCTCTGTCGCCCAGGCTGGAGTGCAGTGGCGTGATCTCGGTTCACTGCAAGCTCCGCCTCCCAGGTTCATGCCATTCTCCTGCCTCAGCCTCCCAAGTAGCTGGGACTACAGGCGCCTGCCGCCGTGCCCAGCTAAGTTTTTGTATTTTTAGTAGAGATGGGGTTTCACTGTGTTAGCCAGGATGGTCTCAATCTCCTGACCTCGTGATCCGCATGCCTCCGCCTCCCAAAGTGCTGGGATTACAGGCGTGAGCCACCGCGCCCGGCTGGGTTTTCTTGCTTCCCATCTGGTTGCATTGATCTGTTTGCCCAAAGGAAAGGGCCATGTCATGACCTGCAGGTATTAATATTTACTTTGCTTAATTTAAGTTTTCTTTGAATCCAAGAGCACTGGAATTTACTTTCTATAAATTCCTCAAGCACTTAGTGCATAGGTGCTATATGTAATCCAATAAGTAAGATACAAATGTCTGCCTTTATGAAGTCAGCACAAAGGTGAGCCTTATGATGAGACCAACGGTCTGATGAAGACTCTTTCTGCATTTTTCCACTATTTAGATCATTTTATCTTCAAGTAACCTGTCTTCATGAAATAGCAAACTAAGAGTTCTTTTACTTATCAAATATTATAGTAGGTTTTAAAATGAACTGATAAAAAGAATTAGAAGCAATCCCTATGCATATTTCTTAATAGTCTTTTAATCTTGGTATGAGTTCAGATTCTTACTAATGAGTAAATTTCCAGTCTGAAATGATATTTAAATATTCTTTTAGGTTATTCCAAAATTTATATCTTTGCTACAGCACAACAGGAAATGGTATGTTATTATTACCTTTTTACCCATATGCTTTTCTGGTATGTTAGAGTATTTGGTGACACTTTCTTGAATATCATAAAGTCTTAAAGGCCACAAAATTTAATGTCCCACCAAATTTAAGAATCATTTCTCCAGTGTAATAGTTTTCAAAATAATCTGTATCTTATTTTTGTAATTTACTTGAGATAATTTCAAATCTTAATAACCTATCATAGAACTTTGAATTATAGCATTAACATTTGAAATCTATTTTTATATAATTTTACTTTCTCAAAAAACTTATTTAATTCATAGAACTGTAGATATTTCTTTAAAATGAACTTATGGTATAAAATTGAATACACATTTCACAGGGGTCACTAATATGTTTGTCACTTTCCTACTAAGTACCCTCAGAGGGTTTGGAAATTATTTAAGAAATATGAACAAAATTTAGAAAAGCTATGAGAATTTGTATTTTCAGTAAAAGATTCTGGGATCCCCATGGGAAGTGGCTTCTCTGGAGTTGTAGTACTCAGTCAATGCTTTAGGAAACTTTACCTTTTTACACTTCATGATTTCACTTCATTTAATCTCTTTAGTTGCATTCATGGGTCAGGGCTTCAAACAAGAAACTTCCTTTATGCTACTGATGTTGTAGAAGCATTTCTCACTGTCCTCAAAAAAGGGAAACCAGGTGAAATTTATAACATCGGAACCAATTTTGAAATGTCAGTTGTCCAGCTTGCCAAAGAACTAATACAACTGGTATGTATCTATTTTAAAAGGGTGGTATTTTCAAAATTGTTAGTGGCAGTAACCATTAATTTAGTCAAAATCAGAAGCATACAGTTTACTTAATTTAAAAGTAAGCAAGCAGAAAATGAAATGGATTATGTGTACCATATGTGTCTTAATTTAAGTTTTATCACCTATTTAGTAACAGCTTTTCAGGAAAAAATAATTCATTAAATGTACTGTCCCTAATTGTAAGACATAACTCATTTTCAGAAATATAAAATTGTGTCTTAAAATAAGTAACAGTGACATATAAAATAATTATATCAGTAGTTATGAATATCCATATATATTAGGGGACATCAATGATAAATTCATTTAATAGAAAGAGGGACTGAATAATAACCAAAATCCAATGTGTATATCTGAGCTTCAGATGGAATTTAGTATAAAGTATAGACAGTGTTACTAAAATGATGTTCATTTTAGCTGTCTTCCCCGCTATGAAGCAGTTGTTTTCTTTTTAATCAGCCATTAAATACCATTGTTATTCTCTGATCTCATTTAATAATTTGACTCAAAAGCCTTCTCCATTTTAACAGATCAAAGAGACCAATTCAGAGTCCGAAATGGAAAACTGGGTTGATTATGTTAATGATAGGTGAGTAACAAGTTAAAACATTGGGGAAAGGTTGTGAAATCTTAGGTACCTTTAAAATTATAAAATATGTGGACTTGACCAATAACTAGTTTATCTCTTTTGAATTTTCTGGTAAAACATTTTTTTTCATAATCGTAAGTACCATACAGATTAAGTATAGCATTATTACTTACTAGCTATGTGACTTAAAAAATTATTGACCCTTTCCAAGTCTGAGGTTTCAAACCTCCAGTGTGAACTAGGGATAATAACATCTCTCTCTTTCTTTTCTTTTTTTTTTGAGACGGAGTCTCACTCTGTCGCCAGGCTGTACTGCAGTGGTGCAATCTTGGCTCACTGCAGCCTCCACCTTCCCAGGTTCACACCGTTCTCCTCAGCCTCCCAAGTAGCTGGAACTACAGACTTATGACACCATGCCCAGCTAATTTTTGTATTTTTAGTAGAGATGGGGTTGCACCATGTTGGCCAAGATTGTCTCCATCTCAACCTCGTGATCCGCCCACCTCGGCCTCCCAAAGTGCTGGGATTACAGGCGTGAGCCACTACGCCCAGCTGATAATAACATCTTTCTTATGAAAGTATT